AGTGAAAACGGAGCTCCGGAGGGCCTCACATGGCCCTCTGGAGCTCCATTTCCGCTGGAAGAGGGCTGCAGGAGGCCATTGCAGCCAGAAACGAAGCTCAGGAGCCCTTTTTCGCTGGCATAGCACTCGGGCCACTCTATGCGCCCCTGACACAAGTGACGTCGAGCTGGCCATACCCACTCTGGCCCCGCAAGGTCAAACCGAACCCTGATGCGGCCCTCCATGAAGTCGAGTTTGACGCCCTTGCTGTATAGCAACCCTTAGCCTTGTAGTGAGGCTGAAAAGTCAAGGACTCTGGGCCACCAACACCCCCACTGAGACAGCCATGTCAAGTCGAGATCTTAACATCCATTACAACACTGGCCACTAAGTAGACGCCATACACATACAACAACATGATTTCCTGATAAAAGCACAAGATCACACTGGTTTGAAGAAGGAAATCTCCGTTGAACAGTTGTATCCTGAGATAGCTTTGAGGGTAACATTGCATCAAACTCCCATCAGATATCATTCAGTGTGGGTTGATGAGCGTAGTAGCCCAGCGCACGAGGTTGGAGAAAGTTGATCTGCGACGCCCCATTGGCAGCTATTTCTTTCTTTTTTGCTCTTCTGGAACCCAAGTTCTTCAACAACTCAATTTCTCCGTCACCTACAGGTTTCTTCGGACTTTCATGGAGGAGCCACGAAGAACTCTACATAAATGATGCCTCGGGGTGGAGAATACTATTCCGGCTCTCTAAAAGTTTGTTTCAAGGGTTTTCTTTCAGCTACGTCTAAGCTAAACTTCCTTCGAATCTCAAGTACATGATTTCAAACAAATAACGCTGTCAACTTGTAAAGCATTTCCATGCCTATTATCAAGTTGACATTGGAAGAAAGAGGGGGGAGAATTCCATGCAAATCTTCGACCAGGGTCAGAATCTCAGATTTCTACAGCAGGTGTGTGAGGCATGAAATTTTACAACCTGCTGCAGCACTTCATTGGTGGGTGTGATTTACGACACAGACTGAGGGGAGGGGAGACACAGGGGTAAAGTTCAGCCACCATTAAATGGAAATCAGATCTGTCTGTGGCAGGAAAAGCCAAAATGTTGCTCCTAATAAATGACTGGATTTCTTTTGAACTTTGTCTTGAGGCTCGTAAATTAATTAGGGCATCTTTTGGGAACCTCACAAATGCAAGCAAGAAAGGATTCCTGTTGTAGCTACAGTCCAGATGTTATCGGTGCTCAAGGCAAGATCTTCGCAGGCATTTTTTTTCAAAGTGACTTCTGGCAATAATTTATTCTGGGTACCATCCAAGCCCAGAACCATTCAGGGACAAACCTTGCAAAAATCATCTGCAAGATAAAAGAAGGGGTGGGATTTTTTTTTCCACACAGAAGAATTTTATAAGACAACATCATCTACAACTTAAAGGGTTAACGATAATCCTGCTTATCATGGCAAAATAAAAATAAAATCCAAACTGGCTCAGAATTTGTCTCCATTCCAAATCTTCCTATTCCTTCTTTTTCAAAAGGAAAAGGTAGAAACTTTTACAAACCTTGAGCAATGAAATAAATCAAAAGTTAGCAATTAAAGGCTTAAACATATGAAGAACAGTTGCAGGCACTGGGAATGTCTAACAAAGGGAAGGACTAGGGGAGACAGGATAACAGTCTTCCAATATTTGAAGGGATGTCACAGAGAGGAGAGGGTCAACCTATTCTCCAAAGCACCTGAAGGCAGGACAAGAAGCAATGGATGGAAATTAATCAAGGAGAGAAGCAACCTAGAATGGGGGAAACTCAGAACAATTAACCAGTGGAACGACTTGCCTACAGAAATCGTGGGTGCTCCATCACTGGAGGTTTTCAAGAAGAGACTGGACAGCCTTTAATCCAAAATGGTAGAGGGTCTCCTGCTTGAGCAGGGGTTGGACTAGAAGACCTCCAAGGTCCCTTCCAACTCTGGTATTCTGTGATCTATCACTGCTCTTTAAGGCAGGGGCTCAACCTTTTTCAACTTTTTTATCCTGAAGAAACCCTTGAAATAATTTTGCAATTCGGAAAATTGAAAATTTCTTCAGGAAACCCTGGCATAAACATGGCAACATATACAAAAACGTCACAATGCAGTTCCTCTCTACACTACACAACCCACATTTTACCGCAATAAAAAGCGGCAGGCTGGCAACTGAGTTGCGGTATTTACAAATTCGCAGCACACAAAAGCTAGTTGTGTGGTGCCCTAAATTCAAAACATGCTGGGTTATTTATTTATTTTTTCAATCTCTCAGGAAATCACATGTGAGAAAGGCTGCTTAGCTCATGTTTAAATTCCTGCCCAATCTTGGGTCTTGTTATGGCCTGCCAGCAGCCAGCATAGCTGGCAGCAGATTCGGACAGTGAGAAGATTGGGGAGGGACATTGGCCAGTCTTGGAGTCTGGGGAAGGCTCAGATGAGGGCTCTGCGTCGGAGGCAGAGAGGGGGCCAAGGCCGTCTGACAGTTATCAACTGCCTTCAGAGTCAGAGATCAGGGGGGCAGACGAACAGCTGGAGCCTGTTCCCAGTGTGCGCATGCACAGAGTTGCCAGACGAAGGGAACAGCTAAAGAACAGGGGTCAACTTGGGAGTAAGGCCACAGGTGGACAATGAATGGCCCCTCCCAGAGGAAATAAAAGAGGAGCAAAAGGNAACTAATCAAGGACAGAAGCAACTTAGAACTAAGGAGAAATTTCATGACAGTTAGAACAATTAATCAGTGGAACAGCTCGCCTGCAGAAGTTGTGAATGCCCCAACACTGGAGGTCTTTCAGAAGATGTTGGATAGCCATTTCTCTGAAACCATATAGAGTTTCCTGCCTAGGAAGGGAGTTGGACTAGAAGACCTCCAATTTCCTTCCAACTCTGCTATTGTATTATTGTAATATGAAGTGTGTGTGTGTTTCTTTGTGTGCAAGGGAAGGAGAGAGGGAGAGAGAGGGAGAAACATTTCAAAGCACAAGAGTTTTCCTAAGAGAAAAAGGATTTGTATGCAGTTCTGAAAAAATACTGATGGCAGGAAGAGGTTTATGAGCAGGCTCTAATTCTCATGCATCTGGGTTATATGATTTCAGGCTAGACAGAGCGATTGTCTTCTTGGAATAACCTTCAACACACACAACTGTCAGAGTAATCTCCTTTCTCTGTAATAAATCACCCTGACATGAGAAAAATATCCACCCTCGAGTGCATTTAGCTACGTAAGTCTCCATCCGCAATCTACCGTATATGATGCAGCCCAGACTGTTTACTATTTCGGAGACGAGACCCCGATTGCCTGATGTGACAAGCCAGAAACAGTGAAGAGGAAGAGGAAAACATTTTAAGTTTCATTTTTCCATGTTTGAGGCGGTGGGTTTTTTCTATTTGAAAAAAAAAATTTACTCCATCTTTCTTTAGGTTTCCTAGACATTGCTGTGCATATAAGCCTAAGTGATACTGCTACACATTTTCAATCAATACACAGAAGCGGTGGTTATATCATGATTTACCTTGTAATCCAGTTGGAAAACCAGCCAGGGCTGCTGAGAGTCTGGCAAGTTTAATAAATAATACAAGTTGTCCCCGATTTATGACCACAATGGAGCCCAAAATTCCTTTTGCTAAGATACATTTGTTAAGTGAGTTTTGACCCATTTTACGACCTTTCCTGCCACAGTTTTTGTGAATCGTTTCAGTCGATCAGTGAGCAGCCCGGTTGTTAAGTGAATCCGGCTTCCCCCATTGACTTGGCTTGTCGGAAGGTCACAAAAGGGGATCAATCACGTGACCTGGGGCCACAGCAACAGTCGTAAGTATGAACTAGTTGCACCTGAATTTTGATCATGGGGCTGGTTTAAACCAGTCGTAACTGTGAATGACGGTCATAAGCCACTTTGTTCATTGCCATTGTAACTTTGAACAGTCACTAAACAGAAGTGTTGTAAGTCCAAGATGACCTGTAATTCTGAGCAGCTAAATGCAATTTATAGTGCAATTACTCTAAGTGTTCCCTGGCCAATATTGCATTTCCCTTCTCTTCTCCCACTCCTGCAACTGTGAACATACTTGCTTCCTATCCTCCGAGAAATCTGAACAGCCTGTTTCCCAAGGGGAAGATTAATGTTTTAACCCCCACCCTTTCAAATGACACTGGCCAATTCCTCCCACCACAAGGGAAGCAAGGCCAATGTTTCGTTTCAGCTTTTTTTGAGTTGAGTGAGAGTACCTGAAACTTCTCCTCCACACCTGGGCTGTTCTAGAGTGGAGGCTGGCGAGAAGACGAATGACTTCTTAAAGCTCCTTTATGCAAAACTCAAACTAATGCGGCCCTCTCTCCAGACTGAGATGGAGACAGTTTGCCCAATTCTCTAAACTGAGATGAAGTCAGTTTGAATAGTGGTTAGGGTGCTTGCCTAAAAACCCACAGATGCTGAATTCTAGTCCTGCCTTAGGCATGAAAGCCAGTTGGATGACTTAGAGCCTCTCAGCCCACCCCACCTCACAGGGTTGTTGTTATATACAGGAGAAAATAGGAGGAAGGAATATTGTATTTGTTCCCTGTCTTGAGTTACTTATACAGCAGTAAAAGTGGTGATAAATATCTAATAAACAAATCAGTGTGCCCATCTCTACGGATGGAGCTGGAGCCAGTGTGCGTATTTCTGCAGCTGAGAGGCCAATTTCTTAAATGCACAGCCTTCCTCTACTTGCCACATAATTCCCCCAACTCCATCCTCTTTGCTGGAATAGGAATAGAAAATAGGAGAATAGAAAATAGAATACAGAATAGAGAATAGAATAGAATACAGAATAGAGAATAGAATAGAATACAGAATAGAACAGAACAAAACAGAATAGAATAGAATATTGGAGTAAAGAATAGAATGGAATTGAATAGGAATAGAACAGAATACAATAGAATACAGTAGAATAGACTAGAATGAAAAATAGAACAGAATACAGAATACAATAGAAAGAACAGAACAGAATGCAGAATACAGAATTCAGTAGAATAGAATGCAGAATAGACTAGAACAGAACAGAACAGAGAATAGAGCAGAATATAGAACAGAATATAGAGTAGAGTAGAGTAGAATAGAATAACAACTTTATTGTCACTTTGATGATGGCATAGACAATAAAGCTGTTAGAAAATCTGATAGTCCTGCTATAGATACTTTGAAACCTCCTCCCAGAGGGGAGCAACAGAAACAGAACATAAAGTGGGTGTGGCAGGGTCTCTAACAATGCTTTGAGCTCTAAGCACAGAGTGCTTATAAGCACTATCCTGAGTTTCCTATAATCTTCTCCGCTGTCCTTACCACTCTCTGTAGGAACTTTCTATCTGAGGCGCTGCTGCCACCAAACCAGACAGGGTTGCAGTTTGTTAAAACGCTCTCAATTGTACCTCTGTAAAAAAAGGAGAGGTCTTAGACCAAGGCTGTCAAACTCCCGGCCCACTGTCGGTTTAGCAAAGCGGGGGGAGGAGTCCCGATAGTCACATGACGCTACCGTGATGACGTGAGTTTGACACCCTGTCTTAGAGCTTCCTATGATCTTCTCCGCTGTCCTTACCTGCGGGGTGTCACCCTCAAACCCTGTTGAGATGCAGTCCAGAGAGAGCAAAAGCTTACCCCAATGCCTGGATCTGCACTGGGGACCGTGCTGGGAACCCCAGCCTGCTGTCCCCAACCCCACTGCAGGCAGTCCTCAACTTATGACAGTTCGCTTAGTGACTGAAGTTACAACGGCACTGGGGAGGGGGGAAGGTCCCCCATGGTCACGTGGTTTGCATTGGGATGCTTGGCCAACTGATTCGCATTTACGACTTTTGCAGCGTCCCAGGGTGTGTGTGTTTGTGTGTGTGTGTGTGTGTGTGTGTGAGAGAGAGAGAGAGAGAGAGAGAGACAGACAGACAGACAGACAGACAGACGTGACACCCTTTGGCAACCAGCAAAAGTCGGTGGGGAAGTGGGATTCACTTAACAACCGCAGTACTCACTCAACAACAGCAGTGATTCACTTAACAACAGGAGCAAGAATTGTCGTAAAGTGAGGCAACACACACTTAGTTCGTAAAACGGTGCTAAAGTGGGGCAACACTCGCTTAGCAACCGTCTCGGTTAGCAACGGAAGGCTTGGGCTCCGTCGTGGTTGTAAAGCGAGGACTACCCCTATTCCCGATCCCAGCCGCCTTCCCAGCTCCTGACCGGGGTTACCGTGCAGCCTCGGACCGACCCCTCCTTCCTTCCTTCCCTGGGAGCCGAACCGGGGCTACGGAGTGCAACCGGGGCCTAAAAGGGCATCGGCGTCCTCCCAGCCCGCTCTCTTCCCCTTCCCTCGGCCCGCTCCAACTTACCCGCCGCCTCAACGCTCCGGGGCCTCCGGCTTGGCGCCACCAGCTCCGAGTGCGTCTCTTCCCCTCAGCCGGAGCCTCTGCTCGTTCCAAACAGCGTCCGTGAAGCTCTTTCCATGAAGAAGAAAAAAACACAACGGGCGACGACGAAGCGCGGCGCCTGCTGGGACTTGTAGTCCCGGCTCCGTTCCCCCCACGAAGAACTGGACTGGCGGAAGAACTACATTTCCCAGCGCGCAGGGCGGAGTTACGTTGGGAGCCGACGGACGGTGGCCTCGTGGGCCTTTTTCAGAGAATCCGCGCGCCCTCGGGCGGTCGGCCGGGTGACCGAGGCCGCTATGCCCTGTGGAAGGTGTAGTTCTGGAAGGCAAATGAGGGGCTTGCCGGCAGCTTTCTCCTAACCGGGAAAACCCTTTGTTGTGGACTACAACTCCCAGCACTTTCCAGCAGCACTGCTGTGAATAATAGGAATTGCAAGTTGGAAGCCTCTCTAAAAGTATAGTATCCAACTTGATAAAAAGCTAAATTAGTTATAATAATAGGGATTTTCTCGCAGCAACTGTGAATGTTGGAGTTCACACGCTGGCATGTGACCTGTTATTCCATATGATTATAAAGAATAAACATTTATACAAGCAAGATGCTTATTATTGCACTTTTAAGAAGAGATTGGACAACTATTTGCCTGAAATGGTATTAGGCTTGAGCAGAGGGTTGGACTAGATGACCTCCAAGGTCCCTTTCTGTGCTTCCATTCTGTTCTGTTCTGTTCTCTCATTTATTTTGTTCAGAATAAGAATGCTTGGGAATATTATATATTTACATATTAAAATCGTTCTGTACTTTGCCATTCTGTCCAAAATGCAGAAAATATTTTTATTCATGCGTCTTTCTGCCATGTTAATTCATTTACTGTATATTTTCTCTTTTGTATTCTTAATTACTCTGTTGCTATGTTTTAAACTCTACGGATTTATTTCTATTTAGCTGTTGTGATTGCTAGTCCTAATGGAAACAAAGGATACCGTGTAAATATATATATAAACAAGAGCCACAAATATTTCCATAGGAGTAAGACTTTACTAGAGCAAACACTCGTCAGTTCAAACCTCTTGACATTATGGCTAAGACTTTAAAAGAAAAAAAAAGATGATCCAGTTCAGTTTGATATCATGACTATAACTCCAGGTCTAACACATAGTAGAAAGTTCTGCTCGCTTAAAAACAAGGTTCCTTCTCTATTTGCTTTGAGGACTAAGTAACTTCTGACTTATCTTTTTAAATAGTTTTGCACAGCCAGCAAATCTGCTAGTTGAAGAGGGGGGAAGTATGAATTTATTCATGTGGCTAGATTGCTCAAAATCTTGGAAGCTTGTTATTACATCTAATAAAAAACCAAGCCATGCTGTGGCATCTTTGCCTTTGTTTTAGAATATTAAGCAAAGAGTTTGTCCACCATGATTTATGGCTTTCAACGCTGTGTGATCCTAAGGAAGTGGGTTTATTTACCAAACCATGGTTTACAAATTCAGGGCCAAACAAGTATACAAACCGGGTCTAACAGCTGCTAGCATTGTTTATAACCCTTACTTGCTGCTTTACTTTTACACCACTGTACAATTTTCATTCCTATGTGTCCTGTCCCCAAAATGTTGAGCAGAGCTGGGGTGTTTTTTGTTTTTGTTTTTACCAATCCTGGTTCAATGGTCTCTAAGGTGTGGGAAGTATACCCCGAAAGGACAGTGCCAGAAACCTCACCACACCAGAAACCTCAGAAAACAATGCCAAGAGACTTTAGTCAGCCCTTCCCCCATTAAGAAAACCCCATGCAAAAGCACCAGCCGAAAGGAACACTTAAGTAGAGCCATTAAGGGGAATCAGGCTAAAAATAAATTCTCCAAGGTAAACCGAAACTCCAGCTGAGTCTCTTGGCACTGTTTTCTGAGGTTTCTGGTGGTGTGAGGTTTCTGGCACTGTCCTTTTGGGGTATACTTCCCATAAAGGCTACAAAAAAGAGGAGACCCCCCCCCCTGCCCAACCTCATGTATCTGTTTTAACTCGGGATCTATCTGGAAATAACTGTGCCCTGATTCTAGAGAGCACATCCAACTCAAAAGAGACCAGCAGCAAACAGTTCATCAGCCACCCTGTCTGGGGAGAAGACCCGTATTTCCGTGACACAGAAATTAAACCTAATGGATGCTTAAAATTGTTCACGGCCCTCTTGCAACTGATCAATCGGCCCATTTTAGATACACTGTACGACCACTCTTTCCCCAGCCAGCCAGCAGTGGGAGGGAATAAGAAGACATATTTTTCCCCATACAGAAGAATTCATAAAATAACTTCATCTACAGCTACGGTGCTAACAATCGTCCTGTTTACCTCAGTAAAATAAAATAAAATCCAGAACAGCTCAGAATTTGTCTCCTTTCCAGAGATTAACACTTCTAGAGCAAGACAGTTTGGGAAGTTGTGAAAGAACCTGTATAGCAGGGGTGTCAAACTCAAGGGCTGTGAGCCAGACCCAGCCTACGGGATGCTTAGATCTGGCCCATGGGGCCACCCTGGAAACAGCGAAGGACTGGCCCGCGGTGTCTCTGTCAGTGAAAACGGAGCTCCGGAGGGCCTCACATGGCCCTCTGGAGCTCCATTTCCGCTGGAAGAGGGCTGCAGGAGGCCATTGCAGCCAGAAACGAAGCTCAGGAGCCCTTT